GACTTGCGTGGTCCTGAGCTCCAGTTCTGCCTTAATTCCTTAATTCTTTTTCCTACATGTCTTTAGAGCAACTATGTAATACCAGCGCTTCAAAGTTAAGAACAGAGATAAATAAATCAGGAATAAATGACTGTAGTCCCTGGGTCCCCACGTGAATTGACTCCCTAAGAGTAAATGACTCAATCTTAAAGAATAAGTTCGCAATGGGAATTTGGGAATCAGATGATGACTTTGGGTGTGGAGATTCATTGATTGGTAGTCATTTTCATAATGTCTCCTATCAACTGTTCTCCACGACCACCCCCTCACCGTTATTTTCACTACCTTACCTCCTAAAATTACTCGGTATACTTGAGGTCTTTGACTTTTTAACAGATAATTGCCAGACAGCAGTGGTCCTCGTTCTCACAGTTCAGTTTGAACTCGGGAAGTTACTACTTCCTATGCAGGAACGTCAGTAGACAGAGCAGTTACTCGAGGAGAGAAGTAGTCATGATTTTTGCCCAAACTTTGGTCCCAAATGATGAACTACGAGAACAAGTTTTCAGTTCAATGTTTTTCGTACTTCCTGACCAGTTGTGTGTATTAGTTACCGCCCAGACGTGCTCAACGACCTTGGCATTGATTTTTCGCTGAACGTATCGTGATTGATGAAACCATTTAGTATCAGTTATACGTTGACATTGACTAGTAGGTTACTCCCATTTCTCGAAGAACGATCGCCATTGTTTTTGCGTTTCCTATGTGAAAAAATTGGCTCTGTTCCAGTTTAAAGTCAAGTCACATTAGGCTTTCTCTGTCATCCTTTTTATCTTATCCCATTGCTTTGATTGTACCGTTTAAATATTCTTTCCATACCGTACACGGAGTAACACTTCGTATTAGCTTGGGTACATCGTCAGTGGTGACTAAAAAGCTCCAAGGCTCGGAAGGATAATGGGGTGGGTTTCTGAAGTAGCTTTCAGGAAAGTTGGACGAATATCTACGTCAGTAATCCGCTTTCAGTGGGAAAGGCCTTTTAGCTGTCTAAATTATGAGTTCTGTTTGTTGGAGCTCAGCTCCTACTTTTTTTTTTAGTCATAAAAGTTAGCCAGTGACAACTTTTCCTGAGGGCTTGCTACAAATTCTGTTTTGAGTAGATTCACGGAAAATGAATATGAATTTCAATGGTAATATCTGATTATTGAGGGTCACATGGTTGGGTTGATAAATATTACTCACCAGTGTATTTTGTTAGGCGCTGGATGTTCGTCAAGTTATTTGAGTGCCTTTATAAGATTACTAATTTAATAGCTTAGATAATTAGATTTTTGGGATGCTTCAAAATAAAGGCAATCAGCGTTTTTGTCAATCAGGTGGCCGATTCTTTGGACGGAAGGTCCAGCCGGCACCCGTCTGTCACTAGTGCGTAGTCTACTGAAATAATCTACCTCAGTAGCATGGTGCGGACGCTAGCGTTATCTATTCTCACTATATATGATTTCTATTAGAAGTTGATAATACTGGTTTTCCCCAAGGTTGTTCCGATAGGTAATGTCCCTTGACGACGATTCGATGGCGACCATCCTTTAGGTATTCTATGTGATGGTGAAGAGGATAGTGGGTGGTGGTGTGGCTGTAGCACTTAAGTACAAATTGCATGACATCCCCATCACCCTCTTCCCCTCCCCCTCTTCCTCCTTGTCCTCCTTCACCTCCTTACCAAACACCTTATCGAGACTAAGACCCTTTTCTAGCTACCCAATCGACTAGGAGCTACCAGATTTGTAAAAGGAACTTTTTTCAATGAATACTTATTACTTAAAACCGGTAATACTGTTAAAAACGCTTTATTCAATAAAACCCTGTAGAAAGAAAAAATAAGCCCGTTCACTCGAAAACTGGTCTTGCTCTATAGTACAAATGAGCGCCATGACGCATTCAGTGTCTCCGCTTTTGAAATAAACTTTCAAAAATGTTTTCCAGAGATTTTTTTATATTATTTTTTTCTAGTATTTTGTGTGATGGAGCAAACTCTGGCGAAGAGAGAGTATTGGAAATAAAACCCTTGAGCATGAACTCGCATGGGTTTAGGTGGTCAACTAGATCTGGCCTGATAGAGATCGTGTCATCGTTCTTTCCAGTAACTCACAACAACAACGCATTCGAAACAGACCTGTTTGAAAGCACTGCCCATTCCATGATTCCGTTTAGGGAAAACTGCACTTTTGCCATTTTTTAAAAATCGTTTTCCCTCGGAAATTTGCTCCAATCTGTTTAATATCATTAATTTCCTTCCTTCTCCCAGTGATGGTTCTTATACCCAGTTCACCTGTAACAGATAATTCTTATACCTGAGGGAGGAACTTTGACGTGATTTACGTCAGCCCCAATAACCAGTATATTGACCCAGTCACATTCCAATAGGCCCACGATCCGTGATTGCGTTGTCTGCTGCATGGCACAATTGGGGGTGACTGATTAATTTGAATAAATTACTCCATTATTCTCATGCTTACTTATTCTCACTTATTTGAGGTAATTGGTAAAANACCGGATGGAGGAACATTGCCGTGATTTACATCAGCCCCAATAACTCAGTATATTGACCCAGTCACATTCCAATAGGCCCACGATTTGTGATTGGATTGTTTGCATGGCACAATTGGGGGTGACTGATTAATTTGAATAAATTACTCCATTATTCTCATGCTTACTTATTCTCACTTATTTGAGGTAATTGGTAAAAATTTTAAAGCCTCGAAATATTAGCGAATTATAGGCAAAACTCAGGCCTCGGATGGGACTCGACCTCTTATTCACCCTTTCCGGGCTTCCAACCTTCTGAAGCCCTTTTACATATGTCGTGTAAAGGAAATACCGTGTAAATCATGTTTAACGGATATTTCTACCATTTATTTCTTAGTTCTTTTCTTTCGCTGCCATCTGTGTGCCTCTAAGTTATAATCACAATCGGATATGCTTCGGAATTGAGAAATAATCCCATAATCATACTTTTTTTTGATCTAAGATGCTTTTTCTGCTGCTTCAGCGCTGCTGTCAAAATGGCTGCCGGTAAGGTGATTGTCTATGGTGGTCGCGGTGCCTTGGGTAGCACAATCTTGGAACATTTCAAGAAACATGGTTACGTAAGTTTTTTTTTGGCAGTGAAAGATTGACCGGGTCATTGCTGCTGAGTAATTAACTTTATCTAGTGGACGCTCAGCATTGACCTTGCGGCGAATGAAACTGCCAATATCAATGTTCTGGTCGATGGCAAAGAAGACTGGGTCTCCCAGGAGACTAGCATCTTGAATGGGTCAGTAAGTCATGGGAGCTGAGGTTGATCTTGAAGATCGGAATAAAAACTGAAGTCTGTATCTTTCAGGGTTTCCGCCGCGGTAGATGCACCAGTGGACGCGATCTTCTGTGTGGCAGGAGGTTGGGCCGGAGGAAATGCTGAATCCGAAGATTTTATCAAAAATGCTGATCTCATGTGGCGACAGTCGGTTTGGAGTAGTGCTATTGCAGCTAGAATCGCCTCTAAGCACCTGAAACCTGGTGGCTTACTACAGCTTACCGGCGCTTCGGGGGTAAGTAGGAGTCCAAAGCTGTATCTTTTATCTGAATCATTTCATTTTTGCCAGAAATTTTGCTCATAAACTAGCTATAGGCAACCCACGGCACCCCTAATATGCTTGGATACGGTATGGCTAAGGCAGCTGTACATCAGTTAACTTCTTCACTTGCCGCTAAAGGATCCGGTATGCCACACGACTCTTCTGTCATAGCTCTTCTGCCGATTACTCTGGACACACCGATGAATAGAAAATGGATGCCAAATGCGGATCGATCAACGTAAGTCTGAGCAAGCTTTCATTTTTCGGATTTTTTGAATTGAAGGGGGAGGGGGGGTGGAAGAGGGTCCATTCATTTCGGAAGATTCATCCGACTACAAAAGATGTAGAGACGTCCTCCAGGAATTGATCCGATCATACTTCGTCTCATAACTCTTCCTGTTCAGATGGACACCGATGTTATACATCGCTGAACTACTTTTGGATTGGACGGTAGCCCCTTCAAAACGCCCAGAAAATGGATCACTTGTTAAAGTGAGAACTGTGGAAGGAGAGACTTCTGCCACCAAATTGTGAATTTGAGTAAGAAGTATGATCACGCCGTTGTTGAGTCGTTTGAACCCACTTTTAACTAAAATATTGCCGTTTTTACTCTTTAACAAATTAGCCCCTTTTCGTACGTTGACAGTCTGGTGGTTGGTGAATCGGTTCGCATCGTTTGCTTTTTTTTTTGAACATTTTTTTGTGAGTTGCTGAATAATTGGTTCTAATTTTATTATATGATTTTTATGTTTTAGTCTTTTTACCTGAGGATCAATACCTTCTTCTGACGTTGTACTGGAACATTCTAATATTTACTATATGTGAGCATCATTGAGAGCTTCTTTTTTTGGAATTTGAAATAAATTTATTTGTTAGACTACCGAAACTCATAGATCCGTTCGCAAACTCCGCCCACTTGACAAACCGCGCCCAACGGTGTGCATCTTACATTTAGAACTTGGTGATCCCAGTCTGATTTTAACCTTATACCACCTCATCCGATTAATCGCGTACAATCAATATCCTATCCACAAGTCTAGCGATCGGGGAGGGTACAGTCAGACTGCCTCCCCTTGGCCAAAAAGTGTGAGGCATTTTTCTGGTCTAGCTCTCTGATCACTATTCTAATCGTGTGGGCAAGCATTTTATTTATTTGCTCAGTACCCTCAGATTCCCCGGTTACGATCTGGAGTCCTTCATCGTTTATTTGAACCGTTACTCCCTCTCTTTTACGACAGGCTTTGTTATACCTGTCAAGGCCATTTGAGTTTATAGTACGAAACAGCACTTTTCGTCATGAGACTCACAAGAGACTCTCAGAACATCAGTGGCTCAAGCCATGTCCGCTTCGTCCCTTGACACGCTCACCTGGGAAAAGGTGTTCCGAGTCTATTCCCCACTTAGGTAACGAATGACGTACTCATTTTGACGATTAACGTGTCCCTAATTTATTCGCCTTGATAATTCTACCAGTTTTAAATATGTCATCGGCCTTCAATCCCCAGGAGACCGTTGCTATAGGCGACTTCCCGTTTCTCCATACATGTATTTACAGCTCTTCCAAATTTCTAGCTCTCGGAGCAAAGGATGTAGGGAAGGCTTATTTTTTATCTGAATTTTGCTTGAACTCGGTCATGTTAGCCAAGGAAGCAGACCTAGAAACCAAGTGGCTCACCATTTTGTGTCGAATGGCCAGCCCACCTCCCAAACCCCGCCCTCTATCAATCAGTGCAGTCAGATAAGGCAAGTTTTCATGAGTGATTCTATGTCTTTCCATGTCTTTACCAAAACCAGAAAATGGCAGATAATACTCCCACATCATCAAAATGCAATTCAGGATCTCTCGTATTGGGTTGCTATTCGCCATAAGCTGAAGAAACAAACTTGCGAGAAGCTACTAGAACTCGTCCTTTGATCGTTCTACCTTCTTAACAGAACACTTCTTTTGAAACGATCCAGCTGTTCCCCACGGGACAAGAACGGATGATTACTGAATGGACGTTCGGCAAAGGAGATTGACTGGCATTGTGTATAGCATCATTAACCCAGATTTCCCGATTGTCATCCCTGAATATACAATTATTGGTGGTACCTCAAGCTTGTCCCATACTGGAGAACCTGGGCGGAGAAAAACTCGATCATGATATAGAGTAAGTAACCAGGATGGGTGCGTGAAGACTCGAGTATTTACCCTTTCAGTGAAAATAAAGCAAGGTGTTTCTTATATTTATTAAGGAGGGAAA